AATTGACATTTTGGCATGTTCATGGGTTTTTTTAAATCATGAATTTTCTGAAGTCAGTTTGGCAAATTAAACCATTTGAACACTTAGGAGTCTTTTTTATCTGTTGCAAACCGAAATTGTTTCAGATTTGGTAAAAAACATAACTTTGCATTAAATCTTATTCAATGTCACAGGAACTTTTGTTGATCAGTATATATACAAAGTTCCACAATACATATTACACAGCTTGTGAGTAATTATCCAGAAGTGAATCCAAACGTCATTTCAACGCCCAGTCGGGCATCCTGCCTTCGCAACACTTAAAGGGGCACTTTCAACAGTTCACTGGTTTCACGTTTTGTCCCGAAAGAGAACCATGAACCTACCGTAAATCACATAAAAAACTCTTGCCTCGAAAACACGTCTGGTCAATTGAAAAATATATGGAAACCTTGTGTTATAGCGTTCGCTCGTCACACCACGATCTCACGTGGGTAAAGTATGTGAAGACCATATCTGGCGTCTCCTGTCGAGAAAAAGGCCTGGGATTTTGCTGAAAGTAGCGCAACTATGCCAACTCACTCACTCCCCGAGGCGTTGGGCTAGACGAGTGGTTAAAGCCCCGGGTTCGATTCCCACAAGGGTACAATGTGTGAAGCTTATTTCTGGTGTCCCCCGCTGTGATGTTGCTGTAATATTGCGAAAAGCGGCGTCAAACATTACTAACTCATTCCCCAATAATCATCGAAACGTGTGTATAATACATTCAGAATATGTAAAGCAAAAGCGGAAATATCTCCCATGAACCTACCGTAAATCACATAAAAAACTCTTGCCTCGAAAACACGTCTGGTCAATTGAATAATATATGGAAACCTTGTGTTATAGCATTCGCTCGTCACACCACGATCTCACGTGGGTAAAATGTGCGAAGACCACATCAACTGTCTCCTGTCGAGAAATAGGGCTGGGATTTTGCTGAAAGTGGCGCAACCATACCCACTCACTCACCCCCCGAGGCGTTGGGCTAGACGAGTGGTTAAAGCCCCGGGTTCGATTCCCACAAGGGTACAATGTGTGAAGCCTATTTCTGGTGTCCCCCGCTGTGATGTTGCTGTAATATTGCGAAAAGCGGCGTCAAACATTACTAACTCATTCCCCAATAATCATCGAAACGTGTGTATAATACATTCAGAATATGTAAAGCAAAAGCGGAAATATCTCCCTTATTATTTTAGCGAAATTTTATAGTCATGCTTGAAGTTTCTCGAGTCTTTGATACATTCTTGATATTTATTCATAAGAAGGCTCCATATATAGAACACAATTCACATTAGACCAAAAGATGAAAACACAATTTGAACAAATTGACAATGCATGTATTTTCCATTCATTGCACGTGTAAGTCCCAAAGATCAAAACTATATGCCATAAGCCAACCATAAGGCGCTTCGAGTGACAAGAGAATAAAAAAACGCAAATGGATTAATTGCATTGAAATGGTGGGGTCATTATATTGAAAAATATATACATGAATTCCACTTTGCAGAACTTTTTGAACGCTCCTCGTATGTAGTTAACGGAATAAGCCGAGTGGCTCTTATTTTAGTAAAATTACTGCTAAAATCCGCTTTCTGAAGCCGAAGACTATACAATATGTATAAACGCAGAAATGTTGATGTTTCATGTGGTAATTACTTCGAAAATATAGGCCAAAAACGTTTGTGTTGAATTAACATGCTTATCTGGTGTTGGTGATGAATGATTGGAATGCACTGTGCTGTATAAACCCAGTACTGTCATAAACCCACAGTCGATCACTAATGAGACTAACATTTAGCCCCAGATCTGAAGTTATCCTATTTAAATATATATATATATTTACAAAATAATATCCAAATGGAGCCTTGACCAATGGTTAATTTCAGAGTTGAGGCAATCATTCTAGACTTGATTCATTATTAATTTATTCTCTAGGCACTGGGAGACAGACTAGATGTCAAACTTCCCATATGATCCTGGAGTTCTATAGGGGCCGACCACTCAACCAATGCTGACAAAAACGATATCACCCCCGTACACAAGGATTGTGTAAAACGAAGGCTAAACATAAGCATGAGATTTCAAGAGGATTTAAATTAATTCAGATGGCACGAGTGGCCGAGTTGTCATGTTGAAAGGGCCGATGATCTCGTCGCGGTAGCGCTGTCCATTGAGATTTCCCTCTACCACTATCAAACGGGTCCTCTGTCTTGCTGTAATCCCACTCTATACCATAACGCTGGCGCTCCCGAACCGATCTTCTTCCATGACACAATGATTGACGTAACGTTCACCTCGACGTCGGTACACTCGAATCCGTCCATCGCTGTGGCTGAGGTGAAAACGAGACGTCAGTGAATAGAACTTGTCCCCTCTGCATGGCCGTCCAGCGTAGTTGCTGTCTGCACCACTGTAGACGTGCTTGACGGTGGTTTCCTGCCAAAATGGGACGTCTGGGGGGTCTTCTGGCGACAATCCCTGCACATCTGAGGCGACAACGTACATTTTGTGAAGATATTCGTCGAAGGCCAGGGATGCTTCTTGCAGTCACTGTTGCTGGCTGGAATCGATTTCGTAGGTGTGTTGTTCGAATCCAGTTGTCTTGTCGATTAATGGCTACGCGTGGCCTGCCACTCCGAGGATGGTCTCTGACTGAATTCGTCTGTTGCCAACGTTGCCATAAACACCAAATGGTGTTTCTGTGGACGTTTAATTGTCTTGCAACATCACTTTGACTCGATCCTGCTTCAAGCATACCAATGGCTCGCAGACGCTCATTTTCGGACAGGCGTGGCATTTCGTAATGTTGAATAATTGCGTAATTTTTGTTGTTTTTCTGAGTGGTGGTTGTCAGCACGATGCTAAACACTGCATGTGGAATCCCGTTAACGCACATGTTTTTATACCCATTCTTGGATAGTGAAATTCATAGAATGCATGCTTTTCTGTAGCAGTTGCGTTTTTGTGACTTAATTCCATACATGTACTACACTATTGAAAACCAAATGTTACTTGCTTTAAAAATACACTAAAATATTGGTGTCACCGAAACTTTTGTTGTTGAGTATACATTCCTCAGGTGACAAACTTGTGTCTTCTGTACGCAATAATTTCTTTGTTTTGCGTTTTCAAGGTCACGCAGTAGACATGGGTACAAATGAATGTAGGGTTAATTTTTTAAGCTTATTTCATAACCTGTTTAATCTAATTGTTAAACTTTGCATAAATATCAGACAAGTGCTGATCTGGTGCCTTTTTCGAAATTCGTGATATATTTGAGATTTTTCATTTCAAACACAAACATTTGACTTTGTTCAAACATAGGTAAGGCATTGCTGAACTGGTTCCTTTTGCTATTTTGGAATATAAAACAAATTTTTGCGTTTTCAAGGGGAAATTTTAACTGAGTGTAGGGATTATGTTCAATGCCAAACATTCCAACCACTAGTATTCGTGGATTTAGCGACTGATTTACGACACCCATTGTCTGAAGAACATTTAATTGCAAAGGCTCATTACCCTGGAGCCATGACATCTATATGCCTTGAAACACTTAATAGCTGTTATTCATAAGATGCTAATCCTAATTGTTAATCCCCATTTTTGTGTACATCGACCATCTCAGAGCTCCAGATAAGCTGCGTATCTACGTAAAATACGCATCAGAAATGCAGAAATATGCAGTAAAATTAAATCCAAGCGTATCAAATACGCAACGAACATCACAGATACGCCACAAAAATAAAACTTGTGCGTATCATCAAAATATTGTGAAGTAACCCTGCGTATTCGATTTGCAAATCAGCAACTTAATTTGAAATTATACACGGGCATTCCGTCAACCTACCTTGCCAAATTCCACGATGACAGTTACATCATGATCATTTGCCATCACCCTTTCTTGTGGAAGTATCGTGGTATTTTTGAGTCCTATAAAGCTCTCGAACCCACACGACACCATTTTGCAGGGACTAGATGAATAGTGCTTTTAAATATTTAACTTAAATACCCACATGTGTAAAAACTAGTGGGTAACAGAAATTTGAATACCCAGATAGAATTACTGATACCCAATGATTTTAAAATGCATGGGTAAAATACCCATAACACCAAAAGCTTATCTGGAGCTCTGCATCTGCCACCCTGCTGATGAGTTACTGTTTACATTTATATTTATTACTTACTAAATGTCAGGTGACCTTGGCTATATAAGCCTTGGCCCAGAGAGATTGAAAGGAGAAAAGAAAGGTCTTACCCTTAGCCTAGCTAGGGTTAGGGTGGGTGCTCCGGGGCACCTAGACAACCACTACTACTATGTGCTGACCTGGCACATAGTGTCTTTTGTATGTTTATATCTACATGTAAAAAGTAAAACTGTATATACCGCAAGCCATTGTTTCAAGTTGTCACTTCCTACTGAGAACCATACGTCCGCCCCTTGCATACACGAGTGTGCAAATTTTTCATTAATCAACGTCAGACCAACGTGTTGTTATTTCTCTAAGAATTGTAAGAGCAATTAGTTTGAACCTTCAAATTTTAAGTGCTGGACTTAGTTTAGACGTGAACAGGTTTGCTCTCCTATATCGTACGTTAAGATAAGTGTTATTATCTTACTGAAAAGTACAATATAACCCAAACTGAAGGAATGGTTTCGTGTTGTCCCAAGATCTAAAAACACCATTGTTATACTGATGCCTAGATTTTGATACTCTGCATCGGTCATTTCTTGTCCCTCTCCTAATGGGTTTCCGGCCTCTGCAGCCGACTTCAAGGCATCATCCTCTGCAAAATGTTCCTGCATGGACCAAGATTGGGGCTCTAGGGGTTAACTGTTCAAAGACACATTACCTTACCAAATCATGACAAAGCATGCATAGTCAATGGATATATCAAATCCATTAAGGCCATTTTTCAATCAGACTGTTGCATACAGCCCTTTCATATGTTAAATTCACAATAAAACAAGGACACATCAGTTGGAAACAGAGGTTTTATTCTGAAGTCATGATTTATATGTATCATTGCCATCTAGACTCAATCGCTGACTATTAAAAAGCGTGTTTAACATAGGGGCCTTTTCCTAAAGGCAATGATCAGTATGAGCAGGTGACCAGCTAACAACAAATCCCAGCATCTCAAACTCCCACCATTCCATGCTCCTATATAATGCCACAATGCCAAATCTTTCCTGCCAAAACCAAACTCATGAAAAACTTCCGTATTTACAGGCTGTTCTGGTATAGGGCATGTATTGAAAATGATATTTGTAGCTATGCGTTGATATAGAAAATGCCCTTACTTAAAGCGTATATATTATATTGGACATGGCAATGTTGAAAGTCAGCGAGGCATGAACATTACATGGCCATACCAGAGATTTATCACCTTAGATGCAGGGGCTCTGGCACGTTCAAGATATACAGCAGGTGCAAGATGATACAAGACGTCCACAGACAGGAATAGTATCACAAAGATAGGACAGCTGGACGGTCCACATGTGTGGCTGGGTTCTGCCTCCAGGCCAGTGACAGCTCAAGTCTTTACTGTCTGTGTGTGTTTACACAACTACTCCCAATGACGTGTTCGTGTTTAGGAATATACCAATTTCGAACACTTTGCAATTTCACTGACTGCAAATATACAACTGTTCACACAATTTCATAATGTATTTTGTTGTTTTTTTCAGATTGAAATAATCGTAACAATGGAAGAGGCAATCGTCTCCACAACATTGCCAGTGTTTTCATTTCATAAATAACTATCAAACAACCTAGCACCAAACTGAACGAGAAGAAAGTTTAAAACACTCCACTTCCAAAGAAACATGTATCTCAAAAGGTGTTAATTTTAAGGGGGTAGAGGCACTCAACACCATTAAAAGTGATATCAAAGACATTAAATTTGAAAAATGCCAGAACTTTCAAGAACCAATACATACTTTACAATTGATAGACCATAGCTAATACTTTCCATATACTTTGAGTACATAAGGAGCCAGCTTGAAATATTTTTTGTCATATGGTAACATTCAGCAGTAACAAACATAAACTTTGATGAAATTGGTTAGTTTCAAACCTTAATATTCCACACTATGGGACGTCCATCTGTACATGTTATAGGGATAAATATATGACTAATTATTACATCCTAATTAGTGTGTATCTTTTTCAATACACCAAAAATATGACAGCACAAAGTACATACAAACATTTGGTCCTGTATTGATCATAAGAAAATGCATAATTTGTCTACAAACTTGGCAAGTATGGTAAAATAATCAAGCTTATTCACAATTTTCTAAATTTACAGATGTTATTATTTGCATGAATATTCAATTGTGAAATTATTGGTATAAAAAGAATGACAAAACATTTTAATAAAACAATGAACTTAGATTAAAAGCTTCATGATAGAAATGAGTGAATATAATGAAACAAGCATTTTTCACTTCCCATATGTACACTCCAAAAACTATGGTAACAGCCTCATCAGAAAAGAAATTACATACGCAAGCAGATATATAATGAATTAAAATAACAACTAACTTTAAGAATGGTAACTTCATAAAGAGGCTGAGTTTCCAAGGTAACTAAAATGCATCTACGGTAATTTCATTCCTACAGGGTTGAATCCAAAATCTAGACCATCAAAATACGCAACTAACCAATCATAAAATGAAGCTTTTTAACAACAGAATGGTAATTCAGCGATGATGGCATGAATGCAAGCTTATTGTCTGACGTTTCTGTTCCCGATGAATGGAGGAGATAGAGTATAGATTCAGCACTTGGGACATCACACGCTTCCTCTCACACTGCCGTGCTGCAAAAGAAACACATGACTTATATAGCAGTCTTACTTCAATGAGGGGCTCTGTAAATATTCAAACCTAGACCATAAACAGCCAGAGCAACAAGTCACTCACAGGCTCTGAGTCAGACAAATCAGTGATGGATATCATGAGCAGCGATCCACTCAGTTGGGGTACCATCAACCATAGTTTGTTCTTACATCAAGCATGTTACTAGGGACCCATTCTAACCCATGATCGTCGACCTGCGGTAGAAAAGGTCTTCAGCAACCCATGCTTGCTGTAATATGCGACTAAGCTTGTCGTAAGAGGTGGCTAACATGATCGGGTGGTCAGGCTCGCTGACTTGGTTGATGCATGTCATTGTATCCCAAATGCGTGGATCGATGCTCATGAAGCCATTCACTGGATTGTCTGGTCCAGATTAGGTTGTTTTACAGACTGCCGTCATATAGCTGGCATATTGTCAAGTGAGGCGTGAAACAACAAAGAAACAAAGAAACAATCTAACCTCAAATGGTTACCACTGGGAAGGGGTCATTCACTTTAACCCGACAAATCTCTGTGACTATTCAAAGGTACTATGCTACTTGATCGAAACTTTAGTTCACTTTGCTAAACGTTCCAAATACTTGCATAAGCAGAAAAGAATACTGGTATAAAAATATTATTCCTCAATGACTTCGTAACAATTTTTAATTTTCCAAAACTGTTCTAGGGATTGGAAAATTCCATGACTATTCAATGATTCCATAACTCATATGAACACTGTTGGGGCCTGTAACTATTGCAAGAGCATCTTTACCCTACAACAATGCATAACCTGATTGAGCATGGTGCTAAGCCTAACACAGCCTCAGTACATCGCTAAACTCCAGGCAACGTAATCATGTACCTTAAGAATCTTGTCCAGGTCCTCCATGGGATTAAGTGGGGCTTTTACACAACTAAAACAACGTTATTGTTTCTGTGGCAAAATGACAAACATAATTCGCACGACTGACACTAATGGGTTGTGAGGAAAACCTACTTCCTGTTGTCTCCGTTGACCTCTTCCATCTGCCTCATGCACTCGATTCTCTCCACAGAGATATCCGGGTCCAGCTCCGTCACGCTCAGGATGGCCTGCGCCAAGGCCTGGAGGTGGAGGAGGAGGTACAAGGTCAAACATAACACAAGGTCACAGTTTCACCATGATAGGAAACCAAGCTAAACAGTGTTGCTTTTAACAGTACATCAGTGATATGTGGGAATGCATTAATGGTGCCCAACAGGTGAACACACAGCGACGAGTCCAAGGTAAGTGAAAATGTGGAATGGCCACTTGTTTTTTTCGAGAACACATTTTCGCGGATACATAAATCACTAATGTGAAATAAACTGTGTATCATTCGATTTAACTAATGGTGTCTACTCATGTGAAGGTCCTAAATATAAGGATTTGAATTTTACTGACACTTCTAAAGATCATTTAGATTATATGAGGACATCAAAATTTTGCAAGATGTCTGCAACCTTTTACTCAATATCCATGGAACTGAATAACCCACAGCCTAAAGTATTTCCTTGAATACTGATTCACACATTCAGGGTTATCTTAACTTGAGTTCACTCTTACCTCGTCATGATCGAAGTCATCGGAATCTCCCTGAATGACAACCTTTCTCTCCACTCGCGTCTCCACAATGCCGTCCTTCTCAGTCTTGTACTGAAACACCACACACACGTGAGACCCATAGTTCTAAACACTGGACACACAGACATGCAGACAGACATCACCATTGTGCATAGTCTTCCCTCTCTGCCGGCACCTCCATTTCAAGGCTGGCATATACTTGACTTGAGTACACATTATTCAAAACTGGCTCATATCTAACATAACCAAGCTGTCCACTTTCCTATGTGTCGCTTTTACTCAACTTATCCAGCGGAAATGATTCTTATGTTTTTATCAAATCAGCTATATGATTCAACTGGCGTATGTATTGATACACATTTGTCTGTTAAGTATCAGATTAATAAAGTTCTTCAACTGGATTCATCCAAGCAAGTCTAAAATTCATTTTGATAAACTAACACCACAAAAAGATGTTTTGTGAAGCACATAACTCCCTGTATTGACCTTCTTTAATCAAAGGACATCTTCCTATTTTTGAAATAATGGGAGCTAACTCTGCTGCTGATGAACCTGTGGACCACCCCCAAAAATACTGCACAGATCTTTGTAGTGACAATACAGCTGTAAGAGTTCGAGAGGATGCAGAGCAGTGGAGACAGAGTTGCCTCCCTTGCTGTTGTGAAGGAGAGGGAAGACTTGCCACAACCACCAACACAGGAGGCAGACAGGAATCAAACATGGTTAGTCTAAAGGAGTTTCAGGAAAACCAGAATGAGAGAGAACATGTCAGGCTACCAACACCACTTGATGATGTTTACCACACTGTGCCCCCAGTGTAAATGCTGGTCTTTGCAGAGTCTCCCAAGCAAGGAAACTGGTTATGAAATGAGAAATATTTTCTAAATGTGTGTTTCCATAATAAAGTCCTAATTGAAAAGTGTCCAGTTATCTCAAGTGAACCTCTTAGAAATCTTACACAGTTACTGAATTGTGTCTACCTTTTCTTGAACTCCTCGAAACTAGCCACACACACTTACACACAATTTAAATACAATGTACTTTGCTTGTATTTAGCCAGATTATATATTACTAATGTGTGAGGAAATAACATCTTAACAATATTTGCCCAAATATAATAAATGCCTTAAAATGAAAACACTTATGAAACATACAGAAATAAAAATATTGTAAAAAATAAACACATTTTTCTTCTAATAGTGGATTAAAGATAAGATTTCACCAACTGATAAATTTACTGGACTGAAACAAAACTGATGATCATTCCTCACACAAATAGCTTTCAAATATCTCCTTCAACCAAGGGAGATAATCGCACAGTATTCCTAACTTACTGTAGTTGTTTCGACAGTTTGCGTCTTGGTGCTATGTGACTGGGAACTAACAAGGTAACCATCCTCCATCTCAGAGGGTAGTGAGTTCCCTTCTTTTTCATAAGTAACAGTTCGAGTCTCGGTTTTCACGAGGGGGACATTCTTTGTGGAAACCGGAGTGTCATCGACATCGGGGTCGTACTTAACGCTCTCAGTAAGGACTGTAGGTGGCTATAATAATGAGATAATGACACTACGTCAGTTACATCTCACTACAACATCGACAACGATGCTGCTGCTGCTGCTACCACAATGCATGCACAACAGATATGCTACTGCCAAATGGAGATGAAACTTATAATATATACTATGCATACTAAATTTCTGAACATGCATATTTTTGGTTTGAATGAAAATTAAGTCCAACGAATGAAGATCCTATCCATGCATGCAAAAGCCAAACACATGCATGCTTTTAAAGTCAATATTTGTAACAGAATCAATTAACTGAAATTTGTTTTCAAGCTCTAAGATGCACTAAATGAAGTCTAAATTCACCAAATTAACTATGATGAAAAGTCCCAGCCACCTACAGCCAATGAAATCTTGGATAATTAAAAAATTTGAATTGTAAAAATAAAAAGGGGAATAGTTCAATAAATTTGAAAGAATGGAGTATATACATCCTACCCAAGAGCAGTCACTAAGATTGTATAGCTGAGTACAGGAAGCATATTGCCTGCCTGTACACTAGGATACAGAGAGCTGGCTAAATACATAGCTACAGTGTAACTACTTGCTAGTCTATAGAGGGGATATCAAATGGTGAAAAACAAATAACACCAATGGCAAAGGGAATTGCTTATATCATTTCTAGTCTATATATATATATATATACAATATATCATGATATCTCTGATGAATGAGATGGATGAATAGGTGTCTACCGGAGCATGATACACTAAGCAAGGTGATGGCACATACATACATGATATTACATACACAAAGCCTATTGTAGATTGCTGAAGGTATGCATACAAAGGATATCAATACAATCAATTAGCAATGTAGTCCCATGAGGTTAGGCAGGTTAGATAGGCAAAGTCTAACTTTAGTGGGTTTTTTTTAACACCCACTGTCTGCAATATTAACTCGTAAATTACCGTTTACTGATCGGCTGCTAAGAATGGGCTGGACTGTGTTGCATTAATGAGCTGAATAATAGCACTGATGTGGCATTATTGTCCACAGTTTTCTGATGTTAATGATTAAATAAGCAGTCTGTGAAGTTATTAATGTTGACATACAGTTTCTTTGTACCTCCAGAAATGGCAAAAATATTGAAGTCAATTCTTAGATAAACCATGTTATATATAGATGGTTAAATATAAGGTTAACAATCAGTGTCATATGTATGCTAAATTCGGAATTACAATTGTTAACCCTCCGCCATGAAAAAGAACCTGAGCCATAGCCCTTTTCCATAAAACAACTTGAGAACTATGATCTCATAATAACTGTTGTTTTTGGTGTGCCAGCTGTTGTGCTGAGGCTGGTTTATGGAATAGGGCCCTGACTGAAGGCAAGATGAGATACATGTTAATGAGAACGTCTCCCGATTTCATGCAACCATTCATGATGTGTTGGCGCTGACAGTGGTATTGAAGCTTAGATAACATCTATTCAAGCCCTGAATTACTCTTCTCCATGACGACACAAAGATAGTACCATACCATACACAGAGCAACCAGAAGGCTATTTAACACTGCAGTCAGTAACACGTCAGCTATATCTCAGCCACAGTAGGGGTGCTCTGGTCTTCTCTGATTACTTTTAAATTAGGGTTACGACCCTTTGACTTTCATGGTTAAATTCAAACACTGGTATAAATATCTGAGACTGGACCAGACAAACACTAGCTGTTGTAATCCCCAAATCACCAGATTCTATAAAGACAAACATAGGGTAGTGTGATCCTATTATATTCTGGAATCCCTTCCACTGTTCCATGATAGCATGAGAGCAGAGCTTCAGATCAATGTGAGTATGAGGCCAAGCAACAGAAACAGAGGGTGAAGAAATGAAGGTACATTAATGTTCTTTTCTGAGGTCAGTGAGCCCAGCAATCTGAAGTACTCATAGAGGTTTAACACTGTGGCGCCATAGTGATTAAGTAAAGTGTGAAAACCATCACCATTCATTCATTCATTCATAAAGAGCTTTATACTGATAAATATATTGTCATATAATCATACAATAAAAACGAACACAATTTATCTTCCAAACCTAAAATTTTACAGAAAACTCTTTAATATCTGCCTCATATTTTTAATTCTTGAACCATCCTTTAACACAGGCCTGGGGGTAAGCCTCTTGCTGTGTGTAATAGCTGATGGGTGAATGAATATGGGATGCGTGGTGCAATGAGCACAATGGATCATGCAGTATGGTTCAGTTCTGTGATAACAGTTGAAGCCAACATCTAAGCTGAATGACACAATTGTGTTTATGTGTTGATAAACATTTAAATTTGAAGAACACAAGAGTAATCTAGTCGTAATAATAAATGTTTTATAAAGTATAAAAGTTCTCCTCAACCAAGGGAGATAACAAAACATGCTCTTACATGATCGGACTTGACCCGGTTCCTGTCGTCTGTTCCGTACCCTCCCCTTCCTTTGGGCGGCACTGGTGGTGGCACTTTCCCGGGGCGGCCCGTGGTGCTGGTAGCTGCTGGGTTGAAGAACGGCATTGGTGACCCGTCAGAAAGGTCAAGGCCTGTTTTTATACGATTTGTTTCTACCCGCATCTTAAAAAAGAAAAGAAATGAAAGTTGAGATTTTTCACAAATACTTCAAAGTTATGTAACATTCTTCACATAGGCATGCTTTTTCAGATTATTGTTTAGTTTTCAGCTTGCCCAGCCAGTTCGTCTGGAGGCTGGGGTTTTCATGGCTTTTCTACATCAGCTATAAGTCACATGCAAAACTGAATGAGATTACTTTCACATTTCACTGTGTTAATTGTTTGACGAGGACAATGTTAAAACATGGAGTTTGATCCTCTGTAAACACACGAGACACAAACATATTACATTTAGACCAAGATGGTGTAATATAAAATGGAATAATCATGCAAACATGCCCAAAACATCAGTAGCCAGGTCACTACATGTGATCATACATAACTTTCAAGTTACAAGTTATAAAACTTCAAAATAATATTAACTGGTTGTCTGATTATTTGGGCCATGTTAGTAAAGGGAGATGATGTTAACCTTGTGTGGGGGTTCAACGGGGATGAATTCCATCTTGCGATCAACGAAACTTTCATCTCCAAGTTCTGCTGTAAGTGGTCCTCCTCTGCCCACACCTGGGCCGACGCCCACTCCTCCGTAACCTCCAGGGCCGACGCCCACCCCAGGTCCAAAAGTTCCCTGTGATAAAGGGGTGTCAGTTATTACCAGGGTCCTTCAGCATCTGATACAGCGACCTACAGGACTAACAGCCAGCTGGGTTCAGTGGAGATTAGTGGGGTTCACCATTAGGATATTAATGATTTAAAAAAAATAAATAAATAAATAAATAAATAAATAAATAAAAAAAATAAAAAAATATCTTTACTAATCATTCATTTGATAAGTGACTGACTGAAAAGCCAAAGTGTCAGTGATGCCACATGTCTTTCTTTTCAAATCAAACCACAACCAAAATTGGTGTAACTGATGGCTAGCAGATGTAAACATGTAGCTTTTAGATATATATATATATAGATATTCAAATCTGGAGTGACATTACACAAAACCCATGCTTGGCAATTGACACTAAAAACTGATTATCACACAAAATTCAGCAGCAGATTGCCAGAGTATGACCATCTTCAACATTGGGTGTTAATCAGTACATGTGAGATGTTTACAGCCCCATAGAGAAACCAAACATCCAGGCTGGAAAGCAAGTGAGTTAGTGCATGGTGTCAAGGAAATACATAATTATCAATGCTAATGAGTTGCATTATGATTAGTAATTCATTAAGTGAAGAATACATCTTCAATTGGAAAAACTAAATTTCGACATCATGGAAATATGTCATATGGTACACAATATACACAAACATAAAGGGCTGTAGAGTAAATGCATGTTTAGTCCTAAGTACAACTTACAAACGTTGTGGTTTACCTTGTCCAACTGACCTTATATCTTACAGCTAGGTTAACAAGTTTTCAGATGTTGCTGGTTCCCAAACAAACGACTTTTCCTGTTATCAACCTTCATTTTGAAATCCAATTGGAACCACAACATTTATATAAGGCTAAATGAAAGTGTCAGTACATGAGTTGATTGCATGATGGGATGATGTGTGAGTCACAGGTGCAACACAAGATGAAGTGAATTATATGCAACAATGTCACTGAATGATACTCTTCATCAACAAAATACTAAATAAACCATTCAGGATCAATTGATCAACAAGTCAACACATGAATGACAAAACTGCCAATGTGTTTTTAGGAAGAGAGCCTACAACTGGTAAAGGGGAAGGATGTTTGTCATAGCCGAATAACACATTAGGGACAATCTTGACAGCAAGCCATTAGTTAACACAACACCTGACCTACGGTCTAACCTTTTCCGATTCTGTTGGTTCCTCAGTTTTGCCAGCAGGTTTAGAGCCAGACTGAGACGCATGAGACGAAGTGGACGATACGGAGTCTGTATCTCCTCCCTGGGTGATATAGGCAGTCTTGCATACAACCAATCGCACATCTTCCTCACTATGTACACTATGTGCTGCATACTCTTATATAACTTAATAATACACATACTTGAACAAATATTTACACACTTTATATTAAATTGTTATGTTTGATATTTACTGGTAATAAATGCCTTTAAAAAGAATTTGGTGGAAAATGTGATGATAAAATGTATATAAAATGTTCTGTTAAAAAAAATAAAATCTCTTTTCTTAATTTGCCTCCACAATATACATGCATTATTTTCTCTTTTTTTTAATAAAACTTTTTAAAACTAAAATGCCATGCTGATCACTTTGTTTAATATTCAATCATGCATTTTGTTAGTTTTAATTTTCTTCTTCTTTGATCTAAAATTTTGATGCACAATCACAATTATGTCTGTGCAATATTAATCTATGAACAGTGTGTAACATCAACAAAGCAAGCACAAATGACCTCTCATACAAACACAACATACATCATGACACACTAACACAGCATGTTCCTCCAGACACGCTAACAAGCATGCTATCACTGAAACATTGGAGCGGTAACTATCCTATAATCCTGAAGCCAAGGCGTAACAGCCCTCTTGATCAACTGGAGCTATGGTTCCTCTACTAGTATCCAAAGCACAAACCACAGACAACATTAGTAGGGGTTGGGCATTGGGGGCGAACTGTTGGAATAGTTGGTAAACTTGGGGCCTTAGAGGGGAAAATGCTGGTGTGGGTGTTGGTGTGGGTGTGGGTGTGGGTGTGGGTGTGGGTGGAGTGTTTGGGTAGAATGTGGAGGGTATGGGTGAAGCGGGGAGGGCATGGGTGAAATGGGGAGGGTGAGGAATAAGTGGATTGCATGGAAAACGGTATGGATGGAGTGTGGAGGGTGTGGGTGGAAGGTGGCGGGTGGAGGGTGGGTGGAGTGTCTGTGGAGTAAAGAGTATGTGAATAGCATGGAAAGGGAGTAGGTAGAGTGTGCAGGTAGAGGTAAGGTTATGGATGGAGCAGGGAGGGTGTGGGTGGAGAGTAGGTGAGGTGAAATGGGGTTTAACGTTGCGTCCAAGATTATTGCACTTATATAGCGACAAGCATGTACGTGTGTGTGTTCGTGTGGCTGCTTGTTCTAGTCCGGACTGATGCCGATTTATAGTGTTAGCTCACTGAGATACCATGCCGCAGTTTAACATGAATACCCCAATCAGACACAGTATACTGACTCTGAGCTGACCAGTCCTTGTTTTAGCCCCTTAATGCCGAGCGCCAGACAGGGTAACAACAAGTACCATCTTTTAAATCTTTTGGTATGACGCGGTCGGGGATCGAACCCCGGACCTTCCGCTCTCCGGGCGGACGCTCTATCCCTAGACCACGGAGGCGGTCTTGGGTGGAGAGTAGAGGGTAGAGCGGAAAGGGTATGGATGGAGCAGGGAGGGTGTGGGAGGAGTAGGCACACATCAAGACACTGGCCTACACAATTAAGCACTAGGCATGCAAACATCCATACATACTGGAGCTCCTCTGGAGCCACAGCAACAACATTCATCCATCCAAACATCAGCGTCGAGCTGCTGACACGAAAACGGCAGTTGAACCATATCAACATGCAACTGTTAGACACAGTAGCCCATGCCATGTTACTCCAGATGCAACAACCAGATCAATCAAGCAAACCAAACCTTCTTCTTTGGATTTTTCCCTGCACACAAACTGGCCATAAAAGAAGCCCGTTTGTTCTTATCAGATTTACCCTTCTGGAAGAAATGACCAATGAACGAGGTGTAAATGATGTGCAAAGGGAGCAATAAACCCAACAATCTTTCACAATAAAACAAAACTTGAACCCCGACCACCACACCCAACAAAATAATGAAAGAAATAGGAAATGGAAATCCATCTCCAAAATCATGAGTGAACACACAAAAATGTGGTAATAGAAGGGGACAGGGGACTGGAGAAAGTGGAGATGAAATGAGTGAATGACTAGGGTTTCATATCGTATTGCTGCAATAATACGCCATGGGAAACAAGTGGGCACTGCACAAACTGTTGAGGCTTATACAGCTCTATGGTACTCTCTCAGTAGACCCTTTAAACACAAGATACATCCCCATTCTAGATCTGACTGTTATGCATGTGGTTGGAGGATTAACAGAGGGCTTCCATACCAAGCTGGATACTTTCAAATTACTAGGAGAGGAATATTTAATCCCGACAAATGGGCAGCTTGAGTGGCCTTGGACTCACTAGGTCATTGCTGGAGTCACCAGCCGCCAGATACCACAGCCAAATAAACCAAAATCTGGACAACTAGCACCTTTGATAATTTTCATCAAACTAACTCTTAAAGTATTATTTCATAAAATAAAATAATTATGTATCAAATATTGGTTGATGCACGGAATGAAGTATGTCCCATGACATTACAGAAATCACAGACCATAGTGTTTCTTCAAATGGGTGACTGGTGATGAATGATGAGATGAGCCTATCCCAAAGCCTCGTAGCATCAAATAATGATCTTGAGAAAAGCTAGCATGTGGATATAGTTGGTTAAGCTCTGCACATCTATCTACTTAAAATCATGCGAAACCTTTTGGTGTCTGTCCCTATCTGGGGCATCACGGCCACCTGCCTCTCTGCCAGGACCATAGGGACTTCCCTGGGTCAACAAAAGCAGGAATCAAAACAAGAACAGAATTCCGACATTACATTCTATCAATTAACATAAATAATTACGCATCTCTCAGAAATAATCAGATAACACAGTCGCTGTCAACAGAATACACAAAAGCACAATTTAACGTTTACATAGCAATAACATATGTAAATGCTGCAGCAAAAGCATTGCTTTATCTTAGCTGAATACCCTAAAATTGAAACACGGTTATATGGCATGCAACAAGATATATAGAGACATGCAAATACACCAATAATACAAATAATGTATTACATGTACAATACATGTACTAAAAAGAGATGAGTGTTAAGAGCTGTTCATGAAGAATTTCACTACAGCACAAGTGGAGCTTCGCTGAAATACATGCATTCTAAATGTTCGGAAATAGTCACCCATGAAGGAAACTTCCCACATACAAGTGTTCTGTATGAAAGCTGTCATCTGGACGCTTTTATTGTTTTTACATTGAGAATGAACGAAAGCAACCAACATCTCCACTTTTGCTTTTGTTGGCCGTGCCCTTGTAACAGAACCTGACTAACATAAGGTGCTCAGCCAACAATATATTGCCATATCAAGTTCCTTTGTCTTGTTCTCCTTTTGTACCTTCCTCTTTGACACAAGTCTCCATCATGTTTGAATCAACGTTACTCGTCTTATTTCAGTACAACCATGTAAGATCAAAGGAACTTCATACGATCCTGTTAATTTGCAATTATACACATCTCTCCATTGGAGATGATATGTAAATTTAATTCATCCTATGTTAAAGAGAATATACATCTTTGTGTAACAGAGTCCTACACATGGTTATCTGTGGAATAGCATGGCTAAAGGCTTTCACTTCCTGCTGTTGTGTAATTTCATGTAGACAATCTGGAATCAGACTAAACCTTACATGCATGCATATCCAAATACCAGATGGGAAACACCCTTCTCCTCCCACACAGTCACAATATGGAGAGTTGAAAGTAACAGCAACTGGCAAAACCATTGTCCACAGATGGACACCCAATTAGTGTCAAATCCTGTATTTCCTGTGTTCAGTTTCAATTATAAAATAAGCAGAATAACAACTGCAAAAAGATAAAAGCCGAAGCAAGCTCCCTTGAGGAATCTGAAAGCTGCTGAAAAATGTGCATTAAAGACAAAGGAGTATGCTGAGAATGATGAAGAGCAAGCTGGAGAAGCGAGGACATGGATGTTGAACATTCTACCACCCAATCAAAAATATTTAGTGAAGGGGGGGGGGGGGGAGGGAGGGGGCATTTGATGTCCATTAAACTAGTGTAAAGCTCAGCGAGTTGGGATTACCTTGTTTATAGTATTTCAGTCATATAATTGCATATCAGCTTAATGTGGGAGGAAGCCCCCAACGGCAGATCAGCTTAATGTGGGAGGAAGCCCCCAACGGCAGATTTGTAGATGTTTCCCATTTTGGTGACACCAACATATGGTGACAGAGATATGAAGGATCATAATAAGGGCTAATCTGGATCCTGGCATTGCTAAGGGAGACAATTTTGCATTGGTTGAAGGCAGAGCCATAAAGACCCAAAAAGAAGAGAAAAGTGATTAGCAGCAGCACAGATATTAAGAGTGACGCTAATAGGACACATTGGTATGTGTTCTACAGTGCAAGGAAAGTGTGACATCTAATACCAGACGACACGTCATTAGATCTAGTCATACTTGATGCACACTACTGTATAGACAGAAAAAACCATTAGAACACTGCCTTGATTTCAGAAATTGGTACTCTCAGATGGGTATCATATTCTGTAGCAGCTTCCTGGTCGTGGCAAGAGTGCTACACCAACGCATGTCTTCAAAGATGTGTTAGCGATCAAGATTGTAGACAGAGTTTTGAGAAAATTATGCGCATGAATGAAACTACACCGATGGTGTTAACAGTATGACAATGAAGAGGTGAAAAAACTACCGTGAGAAAAGCCGAACCTACAACATGACTACCATGCATAGATACACCACTGTGAGCTAGGATTCAGGCTGTGAACCGCTACTCTACTCCCATTGCTCCAAGCATGGTCAAGCAAACTGACAAGGAAGTTAACCTTCTCATCGAGATCAATTCCATCATAGCCGACACCAACAGGCACGTCGCCGGGACCGTAACGACCATCACGTGACTTCCCATCCCTGTCTTTCCCGGCCTTGTCTTTTCCATCCTTGTCTTTTCCATCCTTGTCTTTTCCGTCCCTGTCTTTTCCATCCTTGTCACCTCGGCCAGATTTGCGGAACTTCCCAAACAGGCCCCCTCCTTTCTTCTTGTCCTTGTCTTTGTCTTTCCCCTTTTTACCCTTCTTGTCTTTATCTTTTCCATCTTTATCCCCACCTTCATCCGAGCCGAGCCGTTCTCGGTTTCTGTCTGCATCTCCTGGGTATGCGCCAAGCCCTCCATATCTCCTGGGATCATGTTCAACATCACCTGGGAAACTACTGTCAGGAGATCTCTCGCCGTCTGTACCGTATGGAGATCTCTCACCGTCTTTTCCATAGGGAGATCTCTCGCCGTCCTTACCATAGGGAAACCTCTCGCCGTCTTTGCCGTAGGGAGATCTCTCGCCATCTTTTCCATACGGAATTCTCTCGCCATCTTTTCCATACGGAATTCTCTCGCCATCTTTGCCATATGGAATTCTCTCGCCATCTTTGCCATAGGGAGATCTCTCTCCGTCTTTTCCGTAAGGATACCTCTCGCCATCCTTACCATAGGGAGATCTCTCACCGTCCTTTCCGTATGGAGATTGCTCACCATCTTTTCCGTAAGGATACCTCTCGCCATTTTCACCATAAGGCAGTCTCTCACCATCTTTGCCATAAGGCAATAGTTCTCCATCTTTCCCATATGGCAGTCTTTCACCATCTTTCCCATAGGGATATCTCTCGCCGTCTTTGCCAGGAGGGTATCGGTCATCTCCATCTTTCCCATATGGCAGTCTTTCGCCATCTTTCCCATATGGCAGTCTTTCGCCATCTTTCCCATATGGCAGTCTTTCGCCATCTTTCCCATAGGGATATCTCTCGCCATCTTTGCCATAGGGATATCCCTCGCCATCTTTGCCAGGAGGGTATCGGTCATCTCCATCTTGACCAGGATATCGGTTATCTCCAGGACTTCTACCATACCGTCCATCTTTCCCTGGCGGGTACTTCTCCCCATCCAGACCAACATCCCCTGGGTACATCCCAACACTTCCACCATACCGTTCTGGGTCTAATTCACTGCCCTTCTCACCATCCTTTTCCCTTCGCCTATCCTGAATATAATTAAATCACACACACAATATTTCTGTGTATTAAATTCAGGACAATTCATAATCCCTAGAGAGCCACATCTGCTGGATGCCAGCTTTAATTGACAATGATATTCATGGGACTTTTTCCCTTCATAGAATAAAATACCTGCAATATATCCATTAACATCACTGGATCGGGTGGTCAGCCTCGCTGACTTGGTTGATGCATGTCATCGTATCCCAATTGCATGGAACAATGCTCATCATGTCGATCACTGATTTGTCTGGTCCAGACTCAATTATTTCAAGACCGCTGTCATATAGCTTGAATATTACTGAGTGCAGCGTTAAACAACAAACCAACCATAATCATCATGATCATTAGATTCAGAGACAAAGGATAATCACAAGGAATTTGATTTTCAGGAACTGATATACTGAAGTAGGAAGAGGTGAAGCATGTTGCCACACGCATAGCACAAGCACAAAGAAGTATAAACCTTGGAGTCGGGCGACTTGCCATCCTGTCCGGCCTTAGCTGCCAACATTATCTCATCCTGTGAACAAATACCATCATGCAACAGTAACATCCTGCTACAAGCAACGTAACCAATGCTTGCGGAGTATGATATGATGGATATTTACACAATACAACCAAAGCGCAGTGATAATAACATGATGAAATGTGACTCCATGGCTCTCTTGACAGAGATATCGGTGACAATGATTAAGAAAGTAATACGTGAAAATCAAAAAACATTTTAAAAGGAACTTGGAAATGTGTATTCATTGGGAAAACAAATGAGAAGTATACACTGTGTCTTACCATATCGAGACCAGAACTGTCAGGTTGATGTCTTGGGTCTGCTCTCTCTGTTGCTTCATCTAATCCCTGTAGGTAAAATCAACAAAAATGAGTGAGTGAGTTTGATTTTAAGCCGCTTATAGCAATATTCCAGCAATATCACGGTCGGGAACACCAGAAATGGGCTTCACACATTGTACCCATGTTGGGAATCGAACCTGGGTCGTCAGCGTGATGGGCGAACGCTTTAACCACTAGGCTACCCCAACGCCCCTAAAATCAATAAATGAATGTAGGTACACTTGCATGGTACATGAAACATTATCTTTTCATATTAAACCTGTTCGTGACATGTGAATTGTGAAATCATAATCTTTACACCCTTGTCATCAAGCCTGATATTAACCTACATCCGTCTGCCACCAGAATCAGCTTTGTATGGTGTTGATCTTACCAAAGCAATAGCCACCTCCCCTACAACAATCTTCAAGCACCCCCACCCTAGTCTGCCATCTCCCCTACAACAATCTTCAAGCACCCCAACCCAGGTCTGCCATCTCCCCTACAACAATCTTCCCGCACCCCTACCCTTGTCTGCCAACTCCCCATCCCTGGTCGGAACTTTCCCCACTCTAGTCTGCCATCTCCCCTACAACAATCTTCAAGCACCCCAACCCAGGTCTGCCATCTCCCCTACAACAATCTTCAAGCACCCCAACCCAGGTCTGCCATCTCCCCTACAACAATCTTCAAGCACCCCAACCCAGGTCTGCCATCTCCCCTACAACAATCTTCCCGCACCCCTACCCTTGTCTGCCATCTCCCCTACAACAATCTTCAAGCACCCCTACCCTCGTCTGCCACCTCCCCTACAATAATCTTCCAGCACCCCTACAATAATCTTCAAGCACCCCTAACCTTGTCTGCCATCTCCCCTACAACAATCTTCAAGCACCCCTACCCTCGTCTGCCATCTCCCCTACAACAATCTTCCAGCACCCCTACCCTCGTCTGCCACATCCCCTACAATAATCTTCAAGCACCCCTAACCTTGTCTGCCACCTCCCCTACAATAATCTTCAAGCACCCCTAACCTTGTCTGCCACCTCCCCTACAATAATCTTCAAGCACCCCTAACCTTGTCTGCCACCTCCCAATCCCTAGTCTGTGTCTCCCCTTACCAGTTTATCACTCCTGTCCTCTGACTTGTTGAGCTCTGCCATTGGCACCTTCTCATGGTCCTTTCCCTTCTTCTTCTTCCGATCCTTCTCTTCTTTTTCTAACCTCTTCTTTTCTTCCTTCTTTCTCTTTTCTTCCTCTTTCTCTCTCTTCTTTTTCTCCTTCTCTTCTTCCTTAGTTAACTTTTTGGGTGGTGACTGACCTTCCAGTGTGCCTGCCTGTACTGCCATAACATCATTACCTCCATATGCGGGGTCTCTCGTCATGGTTGCATCCTACAAAAGTGTCAAGTTTAACCTCTCAGATTGCATTACAAACACAAAATATGGAAATAAAAGTCCATAAAAGTCATGCCTCAGTTCTTTAACACTGATCTAATAACATATTCACGTATGTTTGTTTGACGGCGGTCTGTAAATAATCGAGTCTGGATCAAACAATCCAGTGATTGACATCATGTACATGACATAGGCTAAACATAAGCCAACCCACAGTACATGCACAAAACTTGGGTCTATAATAAAAACATGCTGTGTTTTGCAAAAATTATGCATATTAATTCTTAAGCATCTTTTCGAATTTGGTCCTCAGTTTCAAGAATATTTTCCTTGGAAAAACTCAACTCAATTCAATCATGAAAAGTCTTTATCTTACGCCTCATCCATCTTGGCATCTTCACCAATTTAAGTACAGGCATATATGATGTGTGCAGCCCTAATAGTCAATTATAAAAGCCCCCTCAATGATTTCTGTTTGTTGGCCCAACCTGGTCTGTAGGTGCCTTGTCTCGCCTGTCTGCGGTGTCGGTCGAGTACTCCTCTGGTCTCTTCTTCAATGTTCCCCCCTCCTCATCATCATAAGGCTTTACACCTGCCAGGCCCAGCTCCGAGATGGGAGTCTTGACGAATCCCTTCTTATCACGTTTGTCCCTCTCATCTGGGAACGACCTGTCTAACTCACGGTCACGGTCATCGGGGTGCTTCGTCCTCTCCAGCGTTGGTGCATCTTCTGGGTAGTAGCCATATTGGTTCTTGTATTGTTCTCTGTAGCTTGGACGCATGGCCACTGAAGCAGAACAAGTGAAGGAATTAGAGCTGAGTAAACAAGTCAATTGATAGCAGTTATATTTGTTTAATTACTAAAGGAATAACATTCTAATCATGGCTAATGATCTATTTCTGATTTGACGGTGAATATGGCTTCAGGCTTCTCTTGTTAGTATACATGCAATATGATGGCTGAGCAGCAACGGAAACAACATTTGTAATCAACTATCCCTTATAACGATACCATATAGCAAAACCGTTCTAAATGTCAAATGTCTACTGGTCCTTATGATACCTTAACTATTGGGCAGTATGGCAAGGACTATAGGACTAGTGCCAATTTCTATTGCTGCTGAGGACAAGAAGATTGGGCTTCACACATTGTGGGGAATTGAACTCAGATCTTTGGCTTGACAACAGAGTGCTTTAACCACTAGGCTAACACTCAGTCTTAATGTAAATAGAAACTAAACCTGCTCATCAAAGTTTTCAAAAAAGTGCAGGATTGATGGGTCCAGGTGTCCATGAACTGTTTTATTACAGAAATACAGTGATTCATGTCCCACTGAAAATGCTAAACCTTTGAGTATTCTTGTTTTCGAAATGAGAGCAACTTATCAATGATTAAGTCCTGCAACTTACATTCATCTACACTGCGTGTTCTCTGATCTGCGTATGTGGCACGTTTCTGGTTGGAGCGGTCGAAATAAGGCTGTTGTCTGTCTAGAAGTGCCGATGTTTGCCGTGTCTGGTACAGTGTTCTACCAGAGTAGCGGAACTTAGAGCCAAGGCGAGGGAATACTGTGCTGTTTGTTGGTGTTTCTGGTTCTCGCAACCTGCAAACATAGTATTAGAAACATTGTCAGCTGACTGTCAGTTTCAAAGGCTCTGTCACCTTGCACAGGATCAGTCATAACCCTAAGACTAATAACGTTATCATACAAAAATGGTTTAGATAAAACAGCAGAAAATAAACCTTTAGCAGAATGTGTGCCTGTGGGCTATAACATTGTGAAAGAATAATTTTCTTGAAATGGAATGAGAGCTGTGACAATCTGTGTCCAATAATATTATAACTCTGTTTGAACTCGCTGCCAATAAAACCCTCTCCACACTTTTCTACAACAGATCAATTACAGTGGCTGTCTGGTTTTCTCCAGTGAGTTCACCATCGCTTCGCACAAAGATTCTCACCTGAAGAAGGCATGGTGTTCTACACACGTTTTCCACAACCTCTTGGCTAATCTGTGATTATCAAGTTTAAAACCGATAGTCGTCTCGAAAGGTTCAAACTGAAAGGAATCAACAATGACAGAATTATTATGGCGTGGACATATTTGTTTGAAGCACTGTGTTTGACACTGTGGTAGCTAACCAGGGCAAATTAAAATAGATGGCCATTTGTCAAGACAGGAGCGAGTGAGTTGCATTTAACACCGCTTTTAACATTAATCCAGTTATATCACGGCGTGTCAGCTTAATGTGGGAGGAAAGCCCGAAGCGATGCAGGTCTCGGGCGTTTACCACTTCAGTGAAACCCACGAGTACGGGTATGGTGCTGACAAACCTAGAAACATAATCGGGACGAACCGGGATTCGAACCTACAATCATAAGTTTCGGGCATGCCCAAGGGACGCAACACTGCACAGCGAATAGCGGCGCCTTAGACAACTGGGCCACCCGTGCCCTCTTGTCAAGACAGGAAGCACAACACAGTAATATCACCACCCTCAGTAGGTTGCAACTATTGGACAGGTTGACAAAGTCAATTCATTCAAAGAGTTGTCCTTTATTTAGAGCTGAAATTGGGTCTAAAGAGTACTCTGATCGATGCTCAAAATAAACAGGTTTAATTGATAGCTGTACGACTTGTGGTTTACTCACCTCTCCAGGTCGTATTTTTATGTAGAAATTGTTCCTTTTGTATGAAATCTTTAATATTTTGGGCCAGACAAATCTGTTGATGCGGAGTTTGTCTCTGTACACAAGCAGCCCACTAGCACACACGCCCAACATGATGGCCACGCCCTCGGAATCCTGAAACATCAACAAAACATTAATGAAACGTAACTGCAAGCTTGTACCACTTCAAGGTAACACTCACACTTTCATTACTTTGGTAATAATATCACTGGGTACCTGTCCAAATGTACGGGATTACGTTTGTTAAATTCCTCGTAATCAATTTCACTATTATTGAATTCCCGAGGAATCAAAATTTAGTGTTGGTTTAAGCGACAGTGTATTATACAAATGACAGTTGATGCAGAGTGTAGATTGTAGTTTGTCATGGAACTATTTCAGCAGTTGTAAGAGATTAGAGTGGGAAACGTCAACACTTCTGTGCGGTTAAACAGACTACACTGAATATCAAGCAGGCAGTGATAGAAGACTTATTTCATGTGGTTTCTTACTGACTTAAGATGACAACTTACTGTTGCTTTGTGAAGATCAACACCATACATAGCTAATTTCTTGGAGTTTTCCAAGAAGTGGTTTTCAGCCTCATCCGGCGTTTGACCTCTGAAGAAATAACAATAACAATAATAATAATCATGATAATGATGATAATGATGATAATAATAATAATAATAATAATAATAATAATAATGGGATTGCAACGAGTCCATATCCTGACAAAACTGTAGTTGTGTCCAGTCATGAAAAGGTTCCAAGAATACGAGTGCAAGATATTGTCAAATTTTCAGTCTTGTGCTGAGGGAAAACCTGGAATATTTGTTCGTACAAATGACAAAATTCACCCTGGAAGCAAGATGCCATAGCACTTACTTGTGTTGTTTGTGAAGTTCATGTATCCTGTCTAGAAGTTCTGCTGTCTGTGATGGAGCAAATGGCATGTCGCGGATGTAGTCAATGCCAGCTCCATGATCACTGACGTCGTAGTCACCAAGGTCTGCCTGGACACTGTATGACCCCAGGAGTGCGTGGGTGACAAAAGAGCAAGGTAACCTGAAAAACGAATAGTGAGGTGAGGTGAGGTGAGGTGAGGTGAGGTGAGGTGAGGTGAGGTGAGGTGAGGTGAGGTGAGGTGAGGTGAGGCTTAACGTTGCTTCCAAGTTTATTGCACTTATATAGCGATGCAAGTGTGTGTGCGAAGCTGCTTGTACTAGTCTGGACTGATGCCTAGTTTATAGTGCTAGCACACTGAGTTAACATGAATATCCCACTCAAACACAGTATACTGACTCCCAGCTGACCAGTCCTCTAGGGTAACAACAACTACCATCTTTTAACGGCTTTTGGTACTACAGTAAAGTAAGGTTATAACGAACACAAAGGGACTACTAATTTTAGTTCGTTATAACCGTAGTTCGTTATAAGCATATATACAGCATAACTACAGCAAATAGTCGGGACCAAAAAGTAAGTTCGTTATATCCGTCAGTTCGTTATAAGCGTGTTCGTTATAACCGTAGTTTACTGTACGCCGCAATGGATTGATCCCAGACCTTCCTCTCTCTGGGCAGATGCTCTAACACTAGGCCATGGAGGCGATCGAGTGAGTGAGTGAGTGAGTGAGTGAGTGAGTGAGTGAGTGAGTGAGTGAGTGAGTGAGTGAGTGAGTGAGTGAGTGAGTGAGTGAGTGAGTGAGTGAGTGTGTGTGTGTGTGTGTGTGCAGTTAGCACAACAAGAGCCTTATTACTGGTGCTTCACATCACACAAGAAGCACTCAAGGTATTTATGTTCCATGTGACTTTCACCAGTATTATACCAGGTCCTTTGTCCAGTTGGTTCTAATGACCAGCAAGGGGGATTTGGGATCTACGCTGGAACAGATGCACCACCAAGTGAATAATGTAGTAGACATCCTTGAAACAGATATTGGTGCAAATATCAAAACATTTATCCCACTTCAAAACACATGACTGATTTATCAAACAATTTTCCTTCAATTGGTTTTCTTGCATTTCCATGAACTAATAAACCATCTTGCAGTTTTACTGTGTGTGTGAGACAGTAAAAACATTGAAATATAAGACAACACTCACCTTCCACTTAAAATATCTCTTCTGACTTGCAGAGTAACTAGATATCTGAAAATGAAATGAACCAGGATTACTGACACAGGAAGAGTTGCATGGTTTTACAAACATGTTTACTTGTGCTCTGGAACATTTACCCATGCACAAAATCAAATTTGATCAAATTTAACTATCGCAGTACAAATTATTGGCACTGAAGGGGTCCTTGTGTTTGTTTGTTGTTTAATGCTGCACTCCAGCTATATGATGGTGGTCTGTAAATAATCAAGTCTGGACCAGACAATCTAGTGATAGACATCATGAGCATCGATCCATGAAATTTGGATACAAAGACATGCATTAACCAAGTTAGCAAACCTGACCAACCGATCCTCTTATGACAAGCACAGTCGCCTTTTATGGCAAGCATGGGCTGGTGGAGAATTATTCTAATCCGAATCTTCACAAGTCGGGTCCCCATGGATCAAGGTTCTACAGAAGCCTTGACAAGTCTAGTCGACAATGACCCCCATCATCATTATTGTCCACCTACCTTGTAAGGCTCTCCTGCAACATGCTAGGGTCTGGTGGATAAAACTTCACTGCAAATTCAAACACCCAAGCACCTCCTGAAAATAATGTTGGTGAAGTGAATTGTTTGTTGTTTAACGCCCCACACAGCAATATTCCAGCTGTATGACACCGGTCTATAAATAATGTGATTGATATCATGAGCATAGATCTACTGGGATACAATTACATGCATCAACCCAGTCGGAGAGCCTGACCACCCGATTCCGTTAGTTGCCTCTTCCGACAAGCATGGGAGTTGAAATTAGGAACAAACATGCACTGATATGAGAAAACTGGGCATCTGCTGAAAATTATATTTTGACAGTATTATTGTTAACTTCAGTTACTTCCCTTAGAGTTAGTGCTACTGATCCAAACATTTATTTCTAGCAACAGGCCTCAATTCAAATAGGTCTTTTTTCTGTTGAATGCCGTGCCTAATAGTATTCCAGCTTCATACAGGGGTTGTGATTACCGAGTCTGGTCCTGTCAAACCAGTGATTGAGAATATGAGCAACAATCCATGATGTCCTGTATAAATATCTGAATTCTGTAATGATACGATGGTCATATGATTTGTGCAACAAGCAGTATTTCACAAGGAACATTCTAATGAACAAATACCATCAACAGTTTCATGACAACGAATCAATGAAAAATAATTCTGTTCATTTATGAAAAACTACTTACGTTTCTTCTGTTTTGATATTTTCTTTTCATGATTTAACCAATACTGAAACAAAAAGGAAATTGAAATTAAAAACATATTCCATCATCAATGAGACATAAGGTTGTGATTCCAATGAACCTTCCAAATTTTGTTTTCGGCAGAAATATTTTATCAATGTACATGACAATTATGACTTTAACCCTCTTTCTGTTTGATCGTCTCTTTTCAAAAATATATTACTGACAATACAAAATAAAATATGGTCTCAAACTTTGCATTAAAGTAATATTGTCAGAATGCAAGTATTCACGACAACAGTTTCATGCATCATAAAATCAACAGAGATCTATCCATAAATGATTTCACAGTTAATGAACATAAGCATGATATATAAATAATGTCTTCAAATCTCAGATAAAGTAATCAGTGGTTCACCAAGTAGGCATCAGTCATAACATTGGCATTCATGACTTTGTCAACATCCCAATTCTTTCTTTATTTGTTCAGTGAAGCAATACAATTTTCATTGCCACAGTTTCCCTTGTGCTACAACCATACATATCTGTTGAAGTACTTATAGGATTCAAATAAACCAGTAAGATACTTATTTTAATGATAACATTAATTCATTCACAAAAGATACACATCTGTTGCAAAATACAATTGTTATCCTCATGTAGCCACATGACACTAATACAGGAAAGAATGTCCCAAACAACATGTATGGACTTTTTCCACATACAAAACAATACTAACTCAAAGCAACTCAACATCCATTGGCATCAGAGGTGTAAGGATATGGTGGGGTAGTGATACGACACGTATCCAGATACTATAGGTGTGAAATGATTCATAGCCCGATTCAGTACTTTTATATGCTGATATTCTTTCTTTTAACAGTTGAATCCCTACCTGAATCATTTCTTTTAAATTTCAGAGAAAAAAGATGGAATATTGTAGGCCAGAAACATATAGGCTAGAGGGCACTGGGAATGATATCCAATTTATAACCATGTGATAACACCCTGGGCATTCTAGAGAATCTGTGTTAGCTGCTTGTTGAACCACTTGTAATTATTACACCAAAATAACTTGTGTATCGTAGATATTGCAATACAGGGGGTATAAATCAATGTATTGTATCATGGGTCTCGTATCGGGATACAATACTGTATTACTGTATCATTACACCACTAATTGGAATACACAACGATGGACAAATTCAAAATCTCACCAGGTTCGTTGAGAAAATGAATATTATATTCTTTACATTCACAAATGCCTGATACAGTAATACATTATGTTTAGCTGGGCATCCAGAACAATCTCCCCCAGTAAACAACTTGATAGTACAGATATATGCACCTTTGCTTTGGGACAACAAATGTTAATCTAATCAGATCTGAAGTTAGTGCACCTATCAGCTCAACAGGTGTGCCGGTCACAACCTTCTGGACTATTACCCCCTAGTGAGTGAATGGGGGTGACACCAATGTGAGCAACATCACAGCAATAAAACAGAGACATCACAGCAATATCAAAGAGACGTCACAGCAATAATACAGAGACGTCACAGCAATATCACAGCATTAATACAGAGACGTCACTGCAATATCACAGCAATAATACAGAGACGTCACAGCAATAATACAGAGACGTCACAGCAATATCACAGAGATGTCACAGCTATAGTATAACACTATACAGCCTTCAAAATAATGAAATGGACATCTGGTTTACATGGTTTAGACAGTTTGTCATTTAGAACAAGAGTAATTTACAACACATTACAAACGTACCATGAACAGCCAAGAACTAACCAGTTCAAGTATCCAGCGGGTACAAACTAACATATTTAGTCCACTATGATAACATATAACCCTTAAAACTGGCAAATTTCTACTTGTCCTTATGATATCTGAACTATTGGAAAGCTAGGCAAGGACTACAGGACTAGTGCCAAAATCTAATGCTGCCTATCAATTCTATCCATCCCACTAACTACATTCTCTCCAAGTCACCTACCAAGTATTATCCAAGTCACACCCAAATATATCCACAGCCGAGAGTTAACCTTGCATACCGTTCATCCCTACAATTTAAGTTTCTAATTTGAAAATCCACAGCTGTGTCAAACATTAAGGGGGTCATTGAAACTTGCTGCAATAGCATTTGAATCTAGGGGTCATCTAAATCTTACAAATTTAACATTGGAGTTATGACAAGGAAACCTTCACTTTCATGCTTAATTTCGACCACCTTGCGAAAATGTTTATTTATTGCACAAGGAAAGTAACAATCTGACCATGAGAGAATTATACTCGTCACCTCATTAAGGTATCATTAAGGTATCACTGGATACAAGATATCCTTATTTACAGTTTCATCCTTTATTTACATCGGGATTAGGTCTACTGAGTAGACAGACTGTAACTGTTCAATATAAGCGATGCTCTATCAACCAAACAAAGTTCAACCATAATTACTTGTGTCACAGTTGAATGACCTCAGCCAAGCTGTGGGGCTGAAACTATTTGCCCTGTGACGCACTGGTGTAGGTCAGAGGTGTCATTCAGCCAGGGGTTATATACAGCGTATACACCACCCATTATACTAGGACACAGTTTGCATACCACACATACCTGCCTCTGTAGCCTTAATACAAATATAACAACTACATTATCACTGGACAAATACTAGAGCATTGCATACATAGTATCTCAATTGACCTCACTTCATTAAATGAGACTGATGTTTCAAAATCATCACAGGTGTTACAAAGGGGAGCCTGTCTAGAAAAGCAATTCCCTCATTTGTGTCATTCTGTCAAGCATGGCTAGTGGCAAATTATGATGCAGTTATATTAAACATGAAACCAGGCATCACTGATTTAACACACTTGAGCAGTTCAATCCCATGCTACACAAATATGTAACAGGTTGTTGCCATGGCGACCAGATCAAAAGCTGTTAGAAAGAAAAGTGTCATTGAAACTGAAATTGTCACCTAGAAGACAACCATTTATTTGTTCAAAGTTCTTTTAAGTTATTTTTTTTACCTAATAATAGGATAGCCATAAAGTTAGCACACAATATACATGTGTACATGATATTTGATATATAGGCTAGATAAAACAGATTTGTTACCTGTTTAAGATAAACTGTCACATGAAACATTTGTCGGACACTGGAAGGTCACATGGCTTCCACCATGTAATACATTGTAACACGTTCAATGATGTAATTTTGATCTGGTCTAATGGGAAATACTGAGCTGTAGCTGACAGACTAAAATTATTGAAAGTTAATTAACTTGTCAAAAATGTGCATAAAGCCGAAAAGTGGAAATGTATTGTCAAATCTTGACGTACTATTTTATTTATGCTGAAAATTTTTCCGAACATTTCGCATATATGATCAATCAATATACTGATATAAGACCTGCATTTGCCTATCTAATTCCATGCAAATTGTCATATTAACATTAAGGTGCCAATCTGATTTGTGGCCTTATGACAGAATATAACAGCTGGCAGTGTGTGTCCATGCATGACGAGAACAAATATTGAACATATTTTGCATGACAGCCCACTGTAAACCTGAATATATTTTTTACAGGCATCACATCTGTATTGAGATATTCTTCAAGTCCAGGTCTCAAATGTGGTTGCAAGTATCACTGGAAAATTACACATAACTACTACTTCAAATGAGTAAAGACACCAGAGTTTTCGAATTGGTTTCCATTCTAGGACACTAATCGAGCATCATGAAGAATGTCCTAATGATATTTTTCACTTTTTCTTAAAAAAGTAGCCAAAAGTCCTATAAAAACTTTCCAACATCATGATAATTTGCCTCCTCCAGTAAACTCACTGCACGCATGGCTTGGCAATAACATGGATACCATGAAACAGAAGTTTTATTGCTAAATGAATACCCTTTGTCCTTTAAAAGAAATGTTAAATCATTAAATAAAGGATATAGTTGTTACTAAAGCATTTACTGCAGGGTAACAGGTACAGTTACATTTAGAGAAGGCAATGTGAATTGAGTTTTGAATTACACAATCCATTTTATGTCAAACATAATAAACCCTAAATTCTCACTCTCACCAAGCTGTGTAAATTATGTCTGCCTGTCAAGACCCCAAACTCCCATGTATAAGATGTAAGACCAGCATAATACCTAATACTTATACAGGTAATGTTTAAAGGAGTGACAATATTGTAGAATACTTCAGGTTACAGTCAGCAATGTTTCAGCTAAATCAATTATCAGTCTGTGAAATTTTTAGACATCCTGGCCTCAACTTGTCACTTGAAATTTCCATTTGATTGTGGAGTTAATATATGGACCCTTGTTTGCCAAGTTTACAAGACTGAAAGACATTTAACTAGACACCCAGCCACAGACTGATATCACTTTAGGGTGTAAATAATAAATCCAGAGTGACTTGTATCCAATATCGGTTCCAGTGAAACAAGTGGATTGTGCGACTTGTCATCCTGCTTGTCAATGAATCCAGTGTCATCATGAATCCACACATGTACAGCAGTCCATCACTTGTATCAATCCACAAAAACATCCACGCCAGCCTTCAGTTGTGCTGCCGCTTCTCATAATCATCCAAATATTTAAGCCATGTCCACGAAGTACACAGAAAATAATCCATTCATATTTCCACAGTTTTGCACACAGATATTCTTGTATCACAAATTCCCAGCAACTGCATAATAAAGATCCTTGAAATCTGCACATGTATGACAAAATAATCTGAAAATAACAGAAAACATGAACCAACATTCCAATGGCACAAAGCCCTGGAAGCAGTAAGGCCTCAAGGTCTCCACAGGGGGAAAGAGACATGCTTGTTTCACCTTTATGTGTGCTGGGTCCCGGTCATCTGTGTAGGTCAGGCTGAAGTAGTCCCGCTCCAGGAGATCGATGTGATCTCCAACTTTGTCAAACAATCGCTGACCTACTGCATTTTTCTGGAATAAAACAGAACCATGTCAGTGTATAACATTAAGACCTGTACTTTGACATCAGCATTTGTCAAGGTCTCGAGGATTCAAAAAGGTACATAACCTTTTTCACATATAGTAGTGATGCAGATGAATGTCTTATTAAATATTGCTTAACATTCGCTTAAAAATTAGTGGAGAAAAAATAACAAACTACACAGTTAGTAAAGCATTTGCTGTGGGATATCAAAAATAATTACATATTTCACTTCATAAAAAAATGGTTCTTTTATCTAATTACAGCAATTATTTATATGTCCCTGATGCTTCAAAGACGTCAAGTGATTCAAGAAAGGCTATTATATATACATATAGGCTATTCTATTAAAAATAAATAATAAAATGCATCCAGGATTGTATTCAATATATAGCACTGTCATAACACAACAAAACAGATGACAACTTACATCGATCGGCACATCGAAATTCTCTCCATCTAAGAGTACAACAGTGCAGATTATTTCCTTGGATGACCTGGTCTGTTTCTTAGGAGACTTCTTGTCACTCATATTTTTGTTCGGGCTCTTCTCTCGTTTCACCTGCAAACATGAACAAAATTCGTAATGGAATGGTTGACTGTATCATGCGACACGACGTGAGATAGCCCTCCGCGCCTAGGTACTTCCGTGGTGGCGGGGCATTCGTCACTCGACAAGTATGCATTCACAGGACAACACCGGCACGGAAACGCATCACTGAACACTGGGTTGAGGTCACAAAATGGCCCCCGCAGATGAAACATTTTACAGATACCATACGTCAATCATCACACAGGGCTAACCTGCCGGTAAACATTCATATTGGTAATATGGTTTGCTACTCTTAATACTGCTCGTATTATATATATTAAAAAGAAACCGCTACAATTTACCTGGCTAGGGTTAAATAGGCAAGGGAGGTAATGAAGCCAAGCCTACCTGGAAATGCGTCGTCTAATACGAAGTTCCGTCAACACTTTCTACTTCAAGTGGCTGACATCCGATAAGAACAAACCGATCATTGACTACCCATAACGCAAACGATTACTCAATTCAGGAAGTAGGGACCACTTGAGTATTAGTTAGCTAGTGCATAAACTTTAGCGTGCCGTGGGGATCATTCAAAGATCTAGTCTGTCTGCATATTTTTGAACGAAACGAAACTGACGGGAGCCCAAAATATTTGAGAATGAAATAATTTATTACAAAACGTATTGGCAGACAAAAATGATGATGCTATGTGTATGAATAAATTAAAGATAACATTCATAATATGCATGAAGCATTGCCAAGCCGCATTACCGGTTTGCAATCGGAATATGGATTTCACCACATAACGAGTACAAACATCATGGCTGCCGCCATTGACGATTCAAACCAATGTGGGTCACGACGCCTGAATATGCTATTTTTAGTTGCTGTCTCGTGAAGATTATGCCGACACAAGATGACGCTAAACATTATAGCTCCTAGTTAGAAAATTTGACATACCTGTTAAGTCTTATTTATCGCACGAACATTTGGAAAGCGAACGCAGTGTATTCGCTTGTTTCCGAAAGGTACTCCCCGCTACATCTATGACATCACCGCGTACCCAGCATTCCGTGCGAGGTCAAATGCAGTGTATCAAGGTGTGTTAATTTTTGTAAACAAATGTGCAATTTTCATATATATGGTCTGAAAATAATGAACATTTTATCACCATTCAAGTAGAAAGACAACTGCAATGACAAAATGAAAGGCGAGTGTCTCTAAAAACGTTTTATCAATCTAAGGTGGTACGATCATACAGGTGCGTGGAATCATGTAAAAGATGAACCCGATAAAGTTTTAACGGATTACGGAATCAGATTCTGACTGATTATTTTTTTATGTTGCGGAAGGTTATTTTCAAGGCAAGTGCTATATCACTTACCACACAAGTTGATGAATGAGTTTGATCATCCCATTAGTCAATCAGCATTATGCTATGCAGAATGTAGACCTCTCAGCCCCTAATTCTCAGTACAAGCAGTTTATATGATAAATAGTAATACATTATCGTAAATGCAAGTAGAAATTCTTTGAGATACAAGTGTAAAACAGAATTAGTATTGCTTTTCCTGAATTCACTGAACAGCTTATATTTAGATTGTTTCAAATGTTCCCTTTCTTCTTCCCACCAAAAAGTCTGATTTAAGGTATGAAAACATTTCTCCCTCTTCCTAAAGCATCCACCACACTGATGTAACAACTGTGAGGGTACCAGCAGCTGTATCTGTATCAGTGTTAACATCAAATATTTCAGCCAACTTATGGCAGGTGTCTTCCTTGCAGATTGATTCTAAAATGTGATTGAATGTTGCTCTTTCCAATACAATCTGTCGCATTTCATATGCAAGTTAATGATCTCCATGTAAAGTCAACATTTGCTACGTTCAGACACAACACAAAAGAAATTGATCACACTTGTCATGAGTAAGTACCTGAAAATCTTTAACTTAATGGAAAATATCAGTTGAAACTATCATATAATCTACAACACTTTTGTCCCATTAGTCCATTAGAATATTTAAAGCTCAAACTACAAATTGAATGTAAGTATATTTTGCTAAGTAATCCAATCAAAAAACATTATATTTGCATTCTGTAAGGCATGCTTTGAAATACATTACTACTTCTAAAATATGTAAATTACTAAACCATCCTATAAAATTATAACAATATGTATTGTTACATCGTTATGAAATAATTGTACACTCCTGATTACTGAGCATGGCAAAGACAGACGACAGACATGTTTTACTGAAAATAGTTATTGATTTGTTTCTTTCAATCTAATAGGAGTCCTTTCATAATTTATCCCAGTAAAAGTACAAGGCAGTCAGTTTGTTTACCTTTACAATTTGGAAACTAAATTGTTTATAAACAAATGAGGAACCCTCTGTTGTAGCAAATTCATATGATGTCATATGAATATCACCATTACCGTATTCGACATAATAAGCGCCCCGCTCTAATAAGCGCCCACGGCGACATTTGCTAATATATTGGCTGGTGAAGAATCCCAATTAGCACCCCTTCCGATTGATCAATGTACACAAGACTTATTTATTCGCGTATAATATGCACTCGCGTGTTATATGCACCCTTAGTTATGGGCTAATAAATTCTGGAAAAATATATCTGTCGTACATAAACACTTCAGGCTGTCAGCATAAAACAAGAAATTTATCTTTCAACTCTGTTTTTTCACCAAAATAATATTCTAATAAGAGCCCCCTATTTCTAATTTTGAGTGTGCCCTGGGAGCTTATTACGTCGAATACGGTATTATAGACAAATCATTTATATTATTTCTGAACTTCACATACAATAAGATGACAAAACCAACTGAAAATTGCACTTATCTTTAATCTGGAACCAGACAATTACAATAATGAAATTAATATAATGACCCAAGAACAAATACTGACAACACTTTAACAATATGCATGTACATATCGTTGTGTAAGTGTCGAGAACCTTGGCATGCATGACCTGCATCTATTGTGCAACAGATGGCGCGTCACACAATAACTTGGCCATATGAAAAGAACTATAGTTATAATCACGAGCATAGCCGAGTATATGCTCAATTGATTTCATAAAGTGTGTTTGGTATACACGGAAGGTCAAAAGTAACTGATTATTGTCACAACATCCCATATAATGAACATGTCGGCACTTTCAGTTTTTCAAAGGGACATAACCATGTTGAAGATGAATTCCATGTTCTTATGATTTGTGACCAGTATTCTAGAGCAAGAAGAAACTCTTTTCCCGAGCGTGTTGTTACCCCTCCCTCTATTGAGAATTTTATAAGACTTTTGTCAGCTGAAATGAACAAATTATAAAAAGCTTAGGTAAATTTCTCTCCCAAGTCATGAACGTCGAACGGAAACACAGTGTTGAACGGTAAATTATTATTAAATCTACTCAGCATGCAAATATATATACAGTATATTTCCATTGTATTATGGGCCATGGTCTGAAGAACCGAATAAATTTGTCTGTCTGTCTGATTATCGTAAGATACTGACTGAGTGGTCTTGTGTGTTTACAACAGCAACATGGCAAGAAAGAGTACCGGTAGACACAATTTGTGGACAACAACTTATTTAGTATGTTATAATAATGACATTTTGGTATTGATCCATTTGACAACAGTGTAAGGATCTATACCGAAATTTTGTAATCATAGTGTGTTAAAGAAGTTGTTATCCATAAATTTTGTCAGCTTTGTCATCAAAGTATGAAAGAAATTTGTCTTGAAAGACCAGGGTAGCTTGATGACAATCTGATACATATTTGGGGCAAAAGGAAAGTCTCCACCACCCCACCCCCCACCATCATATGTTTTTTCCCTTTCAAACTGCAGTGCATCTCATGGGAATGAAAAAGACCCGACATTTCACAATACTTGTGGAAAAAACAGCAAATACTTTAGAGTGCCTATTATCTTGCGGTCATCACCAACCCATTTTAAAAACAAGTTCAGTTAAACTCTCTAAGAAACAGAGAGGAGTTTTAAGCTGTAGGTCACGATATGATTCACTTTGAGTATATGGAACATGTTGTTTCCATAGTGATATGTCAAAAAGCTCATGAAGGTGTAGTCTGGATGGGTCAGCTAGTTCATGCTACATAGGAAAGGTACGCTTAGACTTATTATTACGTGGTTTACAATAGGTTTGTGTGCAAAACACAGGATAACAATACTTCCAGATCTGTATCTCGTCAGACGAAGACATCAGAGACTGGTGACTATTACAGGTGTGGTCTGCAGATATTTTGTCCATGAATACCTAAAATTAGTCAATGATCCCCACTGACTGTTTGTGACATTTTAGTACCCTCCCAAAAGCTTGTTCATCATTTTCACTTTTGAATTAAACAATCTTTATCTGAATCAAATATGTTTAAACTAAAACAAATGAAAGCTTGAAGTTGAATACACTCTCAAGAACTGGTGGAATTGACAAAACACCTCATTCACCATTTTTGTTATAAAACTCATGATTGGTTTGCATGAGAATATCATATAAAATCAGGTATGGTTCTTATTTCTTCCATGTTTTAATGATTTCATTGTGTTAAGACAATGTGGTATTGGGTTATGATTCATAACACTGCAATAACTATGATTTCATTTCTGTATGCCATGGTTGTGACAGGTGTGCAATATTATGTTAAGATTGTTATTTTCAGATACTGTGGTAATAATGATGTAATATGACTTAGGATGTAGCAATCTCATTAAAATCAGACCTCAGTTCTCGCTACAGCTAAGCAAAGATCTGAGGACATCCCATAAGGGGTCACGTCAGAACAACCTTTCATCCGACCAATCAGAGCATCGCTTACCAGATTATGAAAGTGACAGTCGGAATGTGATTTCTAATCATGCAACCTCGAAAAGTGTAACTCCGAATGATAGTTACGGGTTTAAAGACTGAATCCATACAATCTAGACCATCTATTAGCCATTCCAGAATGTTCTTTTGTTAGGGTTTCAAATTTGTAATAGAGAATTTGTCAAA